AGAATTTTGAATTTGAACGCTTTTAACGTACTTGTTATTTCAGTATTTTAGAAACTCGAGTTTTGAAGTTTAATCAAATTTCTTAAGTTAATTAAATGAGTTTTGTTGCCGACAAGGTTTTACCGTTATAAATGTGATTTTTAAAATTTAGTTATTTTTCGCAAATTTTTGTAGTTAATTTAGTTACAAAAGAATATGACGTGGTAATCCGGGTTCATGGAACCCAGGGCATTGTAAATGAAAATGCTGAAATTCAGAACATCAAGAAGATTCTTGGATTGCAGCATGGTAAACAATACGACAGCATCAAATCACTGAGATATGGCCACTTGATGATAATGACTGATCAGGTAATGTGGTCCTATTCTTGGCAAAATTCAACTTTGTACATGTGCAGGATCATGATGGTTCCCATATTAAGGGGCTATTAATTAACTTCATCCACTCATTCTGGCCATCATTGCTCAAAATTCCTTATTTTTTGGTTGAGTTCATTACTCCGATTGTAAAGGTTTATATTACTGCATACTTGCCTCACTTCTAAAAGTAATGCGGTGATGTATTTGATTTTCATTTAAGTTTTTGATCATGTTACACAGGCTACTCATAAAAATGGGGAGAAAATGTCATTTTACACAATGCCTGAGTACGAATCATGGAAGGAAAGTTTGGGAGACAGAGCAAGAAGTTGGTCTATAAAATACTATAAGGTTCATACATTCCTGATATATAATAATATATCAGATACATTAAGCATTTTTAAGGCGTCTCTGTTTAAATATATAATCAGCCACTGTTTGGTTTTGATAAAATCAGATTTCAAGATTTTGATAAAAGTTGATGATTGTGTGGTTGAAAACTTGATAAAATTTGTAGTCCCATAAAACGTGTGGTTGAAAATGAGTTTGGTAAAAATGAGTTTTAAGAAATGAGGGGGCCAAACAGGGGCTAAAATTGGTTATAGATTTGTACTGTATTTATTAATTCTGTTATTGAATTTTTGACTTCATTGTAGGGGGAACAAGCACAGATAAGGAAGGGAAGGAGTACTTTAAGGATCTTGAGAAGCACAAGAAAGACTTTGTCTGGGCGGATGATCATGATGGGGAGGCAATAGAACTTGCTTTCAGCAAGAAAAAGATAGAAGCAAGGAAAAATTGGCTTAGGCAGTTTGAGGTTGGGAACTGAGTATTGGAATATCAGTTTAGCTTAGAAAATATTTGATGGCTACTATTTATAATGATAGTGTGAAGATAATTTCTAAAACACTTATGGCTTTCTTGTTTTGCAGCCTGGCACTTACCTTGATCAGGAAGAAAAACTTATCAAGTATCGTGATTTTGTCAACAAGGAACTTATACTGTTTTCAATAGCTGATCTTCAGAGATCAATTCCTTCCATGGTTGATGGATTGAAACCTGGTCAAAGAAAGATTCTTTTCTGTGCTTTTAAGAGAAACTTTTTCCATGAAGCAAAAGTTGGCCAATTTGCTGGTTATGTATCTGAGCACTCAGCTTACCATCATGGTGAGCAGAGTCCAGTAACATTATCGGCATGGCTCAAAAATATGTAGGCTGCAACAACATAAATATTCTGAAACCGAATGGCCAGTTTGGTACCCGAAATCAGGTGTGATGACATGATTCTTCTGTATCTCAATATCTTTTTTGGCCCAACCATTCAGTAAACTATCAATTTGATCATGGCACATTAATTTGAACTTGTACAGGGAGGCAAAGATCATGCAAGTGCAAGATATATATTCACTCAGCTTTCTGCCATTACACGATTTCTATTTCCGAAGGATGATGACATTCTACTGGATTACCAAAATGAAGATGGGCAAACTATTGAACCTACTTGGTAAGTTTCTATGTAAGTTAGTGATGAAGGTGGAAGATTTGTTGGCCCATAATTTGAATGCTATTTTTTGTTTATGATCTAGGTATGTGCCTATCATACCAATAGTTCTGATAAACGGAAGTGAAGGGATAGGGATGGGATGGAGTTCGCTTGTCCCTAATTATAATCCACGTGACATAGAGGCTGGCTGAACACTGAAGCAGCAGTCTCTGTAACCCAGAGACCAAAACTGGAATAACTGAAACCACCCATAGCTGAACAAACTGTAGGAACCCGTCTGCAGCTGGAAGAAAAGACGAGTCACTGNGTTCGCTTGTCCCTAATTATAATCCACGTGACATAGAGGCTGGCTGAACACTGAATCAGCAGTCTCTGTAACCCGGAGACCAAAACTGGAATAACTGAAACCACCCATAGCTGAACAAACTGTAGGAACCCGTCTGCAGCTGGAAGAAAAGACGAGTCACTGAATTTCTGAAACAGGTTCTCCAATTTCTTAAATTCTTGAAAAGAGATAATATATTAACGGGCAAATTGATAGCTAAAAGAAAATTGGCCGGGCGAGCAGCCCAAGGCCGCTCGCCGGAAACGAAATTCAATGGATAATTTGTTTAGGATGTGAATGGCTCTTGTGATCGAACAAAGATTGGAAAAGATTTTC